GACAAGCCACGTTAGTGACGGATTCTACGATGGTCGCATTCCAAGAAACCAGAACCTTTCATGTCAAATCAGGCCAAACCATCTTGATTCGATCCAAAGAAGGAGACGAAGATTATCGATTCATGCCCGAACCGGATTTACCGCCAATCGTACTGGACGAAAAGGTCTTGGGCGGACACAATTCCGTGTTAGATTATTTGGCCGAGTATCTCCCCGAATTGCCGGATGCAGCCAGAGAAAGACTCGCACAAGAGTATCAATTGGATGAGTACACGGCCCGTGTCATTGCCGGGGATCCTCCGGCCATTCGAATCTGCGATCAAGCCGTGGCCACGGCACAAACGGCACTACTGCCCGACGACAATAGTAGTAGCAGAGAAATTGCGCAAACCGTGGCCAAGTTCTTGTGCAACGATTTGTTTGCACTGATACGAGACGAGGAAGGACGTCGTCGGGCATACGAAGGAGCTGTGGCGGATAATAATGGCGAGTATTCCAACATTACTGGTCCCCAGTTGGGGGAAATTGTTGTCCTGTTGCTCAATGGTACCATTTCCACGACCATGGCCAAAAAGTTGCTCGCTTTGTTGTATCAAGAGGAACTGGGCCAGAGTCCATCGGAAGTGGCAAAACGACATGGCCTGCAACTGATATCGGACCACCAGACATTAGAACGATTGTGTCACGAGACACTGGAACAAAATCCGGAACAACTGGAGCAATATCGTAGAGGGGGCAAGCACGTCGCAAAGATGAAAAAGTTCTTGGTGGGCAAGGCCATGTCGCACAGTCGAGGCAATGCCCATCCCGAACGATTGCACGAAGCCTTGGAGGTAGTCTTGGAAGAGGTTGCTCCGGGAGTGCAGTGATATATGTACAATGATATAATGTACCGTAGAATGAACAGAGTCATTAAATCATGGCTGAAACAAAGCAGCCTTGTAGTCATCCATCCAAAACTAGATTGAACCATGTGGCAAGAAACCCTTCTCGGGTGGATTGCCCTTGGAGTTCTGATAACCAGCATGCTTAGTGATCGTCACATCGTTCACTCCGTTCCCAAAGGCTGCAGGCTCTTGTGGGACAGTGCACTGGCTAGACTCCTATCTGATGCACTTGCACATTGAAGAGTTGAGGTGCAGACTCGACTCCATCTGTGTAGAGGTGGAATGAATCGAATCAAATGAATGAATGGTCCAATGGTTCAATCGGACAGCTCTGATCGGGCAACTATCGGGGACCCGACCAACACGACCGAGGCGCCATGTTGTGCAAACGATACGATACCTTAGCAAAAGCGTACTATTACATGTAGTACTCTATCATTGCACATCAGTCGGGAAGAACCCGCGAAATGAAGCCACAAGTTACTATTAATATCTCTAGTGATCGGTTCAAGGGAAGATCCCGCTTTGGACGTCAATCGAGGCCTGGCACCTATACTCACGCACAATAGAAAATGGAAGCGCATGCCTGATATTTGCTTTGAGACGAAAATGTACCGTACCTCCACTCGTGTGAAACTGATTATGAAAAGGTACGACCAGGAGCGTTCCTCAATCGTGCATGACTTATATCGAAAACAGACCCTAATTTTGGGTCGGATTTAGGGACGGATTCCCCTTTAGGGTCGGGTTTCGAAACCGACCCTAAAATTAGGGACGGATTCTGAAAAAACGTCCCTAATTAAGGGACGGGTTTCGATTTAGGGGCGGGTTTCAAAACCGACCCTATTGCTACATGGAATTAGGGTCGGGTTTCAAAGATTTAAGGTCGGATTTGGGTCGGATTTAAAACTCACCCACGATTGAGGGACGCTCCAGGTCTTTTGCTGGGAGGGGAGAGGGCGGTCTTCCTTTTGGTGCTTATTAATAGATACAAGTAGCTTTTGGTACTGTATTGGTTTGTTTGAAGCAAGCCGTTAGAGCTGGCTTCAATCGTACGCGTCGGCTCTGACCGAAAGCCGTTACAGCGAATCCAACAGGCCCAAATTTGGCCAGATCTTTCCCACATATTTCATGCGAATTATGCCACAACGAGAGTAGTGAAAAAGATCGAATTGTTGAATAGGTTCACTCTTCGTTTGTCCTGATTTTTCTCGTCTGACTTTTACGGGAAACCATGAACAAGCTCACGTATCTTCTCGTCCTCTTGGCGTTGTCTGTTCCTTGGTTGGAAGGATACGAGTACCACCCGAGCTCTCAAGAAGATTCTTCTCCTTCGGACAGCGATGGCAACACGTTCTATGGACGATTCCTTCGTGGCGCTCATCGTCGTCTGTGGGGTCCCAGTTCCGGCGGCTGCAGCAAAATTGCTAAATTCTTTACCAGTTGCTCCAATCGCGATCAGTACACCACAGGAAACCAAAGTGGCGGCGGCAACCACCCCAATCGCCCCGATACAATTCGCCCAGGAAACATTATTGACGTGTTGAAAGGAGATCGCAGTCAATACTCTATTCTCTTGGCTCTGCTTGAATCGGCTGGACTGACTGAATCATTGGAGGGAGATGGGCCATTTACATTGTTTGCTCCCAGGAACAGTGCCTTTATTGGTATGGATGCCGCGGCCCTTCAAAGTGACCCCATCGCGCTGCAACAGATATTGACCTATCATGTGGTGGGTGAAGAAGTCGGGGCCTTGGAGATGCAGACGGGTCAAGAACTCCAAACCCTGCAAGGGGGGAACATTACTCTTACCGTGGATGTTTCGATCCCTTCGGTCAAGTTAAATGGAGACGCAGCAAATGCGGTCATGGTGGACATGAAAGCTTCCAATGGCGTGATTCATACCATCGACGCTGTACTTACGCCGACCTCTGCATCAACCTCTTCATCCGGGACCCCAGCTCCAGCTGCTGCGACTCCTGCTCCAGGGTCTGCTCCAGGTCCTGGAACGACGACCGCTCCGTCAGCTGCCGCTGCAACCACAACTGCTCCCACTACGCCTGTTCGTTAGACGGCGGTGCAAAACAAACGCATGTCAGGCATCGTTGTGGCTTGCTGTACCTTCATGGTCGATCCAGATATATAGCTGGTTTGATTCAAGTGTCAGTGGTTGTTATGAGTAATGGGAAACTTTGTTGTCTCGAGTCTATCTATTTTTCTACCCCGCTGGTCAATAGCATTAGAAGTAATGTATAGCTAATATATCTTTGTTAGGGGTGTTATTATTGCTTCCAAACCAAACCATTCGGCTGAATCCGTCACGAAGGTATTAAAATAGAACAGTTAGTTGGTCCTGAGCTACGGTTCGCCACATTCAGGCGTGTTTTTGTTGAGTTGTTGAGACACCGGAATAAATTTGTTGAGTACTGTAGAACGGTTCACAATGACTTCCGGCAACGCTTCCAGTCTCAACACCTCGAAACAGAATCGGCATCTCGGATTGTGATCTAGATCCCTTTCCTGTGGCATGTACCTGCAGTGATTGTCAATGTGGCCCTCCTGATTGTAAAGTAGTTGTGCAGCTATTCTAAAGTTACATGCCAGCCACAGTGGCCACACTGGGGGATCTTTGGAGAAAGCCAAGGCACACATTTCTGTATTTAACCGCTCTGTTGGTTATTTTAATTCAGCCTTAAAAAAATACCGGTAAGTCTCTGTTGAAGAATCCATGACTTGACTTCTGTCAAATGAATTAGAGCTGATTGCCCCGGGAACATCTTTTCAAGATTCAGACTCAAGATTTTGTGTGACCATGTGTTGGCATTTGGCATCGCGAGATCCTTCTTTGATCTGGCGACCGGGCTGAACTCCCACACACACTTACTTACTTGACTTGCTTCTTTCTTTCTTTGGATCTTGTTGCTTTTGCTGTGTCGCTGTAGACCATTGTTGGCCAGGTTGGAGATAAATTGACAGCTTTGACATCACCCTTCTGGAATTGAAAGACAACATAGAGCAAGTAACAGAGAATGGCTACGGAGTGCTTGGGCTGGTGATTGCTGGACTGCTACTGGTATTGCAAAACCTCAAGTCTAAACTAGCTACGACTGTACCTGGCTGGTAGAGAAGAAGACCAGAACAACAACAATCACTCAACAACCATTATTCTCTATTGATTGTTTCTTGTACAGTCGCTAGCTAGAAAGCTCTTGTCAAGATGATGACTGATATAGATTCTGAAGATGACGACCTTGTGCTGGAAGGCATGATGGATGATCTGGATGGTCTCTTGGATACCACAGGAGATGATGACGACATTGAAGATGTCGATGACTTGGATTCCTCGTTGGCGGAGGTCATGGCAGAAGCGTCGGCTCTCTTGGACTCTGAAGAAGAAGCCGTGGAGAAAACCATTCAGACTATGGAAGCCACGCAACTGTGCGTTCATCCCGATCATTCTCATTCCTTTTCCAAAGTAACGTTTACGTTGGGGGCGTCGCTGCGGAAATGTGCCGGATGTCAACAGCCATTCAAGTCGACCGTTAGTACCGTCTTTGGTACTTCCGACGCGGATTCGGCCGAACCAGCCGATCCGTCCATTGTCAAATGCGTGGCATGTGGCGCCATGGCCCATCGATCCTGTGCCCTCAGTTCCACTGTCACGTGGGACGAACCATGTCCCATTAATGGACAAAGGGCACCACCCCCTGCGGCAGCCCCACCGCCGCCACCCGTGGTGACGGATGAGGAGGAAGAAAATTACGAACCACTGGAAGAAAACGAAGAAGCCATAGAATTTGAGGTGGATTTAGAAACCAAACTCAGCAGCGACGATATCAATCCAAAGGCACGAAAGAGCAATCGACGACGTACCAGTTCCTTTACCAGCAACAGTGATGAATCCATGGCCACACAGGAACTGGAAGATGAAGAAGGAGTGGACGAAATTTTGGGAACTGACGAAACAGATCCAGCTGCAGAAAATGGCAAGGAAAATACAACCAGCAACCATGGGGAGAGCAGTAGTAACGCACACAGTCCCAATGGAACCGCCGCGAGACGGGCCATTTCCAATTTGCTATTTCCCAACAAACAAAAAGGAACGGATAATAATAATCCGTATGCCGATCAAGAGGAAGCACATCAAGATAATAGTCAAGAAACAGCACAGAGTGACAATAATGCTGTTGCTGCCGCTGCCGCTGCTCAAGACACTACTACCAACTCCAGAAAGTGGTTCCAAAATTCACCCATGGCAGCCAGGGCGACGCGAGGAGGGAAGCGGACAGAGGAAGGAGGTAGGACCTGGTTTTCGTCTTCCCCTGGTAGCAAGCAGAGCGACAACACTAAAGATGACAATAATAAAACAGAAGAGAGCACTCCGACAAAAGATCAAAACGATGTCAATACAGAACCTCCACCAGCCAATGAAACACCTCCGAGCAGTTCCAGTGGAGGAGTGCCCTGGTTGTCATCCTCGGGAGGTGCTGTACAGGAAGATTACGGAGATGATGTAACCGAAATTTCAAACACCAGCAATCATGCTGAAGGGGAGGATGCCACAAAGACTACGACAGCGGAAGAAGCCAATAGTAATGAAAACACGGGTGGCCGACGGTGGTTCCAGAAACGAAGGCCAGCAGAGAATGAGGAGGAGGGAACACCAACGGCATCACCAATGCGACTCAGGACGCTCTTCTCCAAAAAACGAACAGCCAGTACGGATGACAATACCAACATAGCAACGCCAACAGACGAGCCTGTTCCCGCAACATCAGACGCACCACACGAAGCGGTGGTAGAGTTTTCCAACTTTTTGGATGTTGAAACTGGGGAAGACAACAGTGAAGAAATCATAGAATATGTACCTGTTGGAGAGGCAGAATTTTCAGAGTTCCTCGACGTGGACGTGGACGACGATGACGATGACGATGACAATAAGGAACAAACAAATAATGAGGTGGAAGAAAAAGAAAATGACCAAGGCAACAACAACAACAATCCTGCAGCTGACAAAGACGACAATACCAACTCTGCAACCGAAAAGGTACCCCCACAGTCCGAAGAAAAGCGAGCTCGTGTAGGGTTTGGCTTGTTTCGACGGAAGAAAAATGCGGCGAGCAACTCCGAGGAGGACACGAGTGAACAAAATAGTGAGGTTGTTGGAGCCTTACAAGAGAATCCAGAAGAACAAGAGCCAGCAGAGCCAGAAGGAGTGGCAGACACTAAAGCAGAAGATTCGGCAGCTGGGGAAGAGGGAGAAAAAGCGCCAGAAGCAACTATCGCAGCAACGACCAACACGTCAAGGTTTCGCCTCTTCGCCCGCAAAGGCAACGACAAAAGTGAGGCGGTGGAAACATCGCAGGAGACGGTAGATGACTCAATAAAAGAAGAGGCAGAAGTAATGGAGGAAACAGCAGATGGCGACCAGAAGGATTCAGAAACTGGAACTGGCGAGGAAAATCGCGCAGAGCCAGAAGCACCATCGTCGACCACGACGTCAAGGTTCCGTCTCTTTGCTCGCCGCGGGAACGACCCAGTCAAGCCACAACAAGAAGCCTCTGATGGCGATGTGGTGGATGACGTAACTGAGGAACAACCACAGGTAGCACAAAACAATACGCGCGCATCGTATATTGGTTCCTTGTGGAGGAAAACCAGTGTGAACGATGATCACAAGGAAACTGCTGCTGATGATGCTGAGGTTAGCGGTGACTCTAATCCAGATGAGGAATGTGAACAGCCAAATTCAGAGGCAGACACAGCCCCCGCCAAACCTTCCCTTCTCTCTCGTGTCTTTTCACCTGCAAAAAGTACGAACACAGACGATGACAATGAACAAACCGAGGAACAAGGCCCCAAAACAGATGAAGCAAATTTGGAAGAGCCAACAACTCGCCGCTTCCTACGATTTTCGGCCAGAAAAGTAGCAGACTCGTCCACGGATGAGTGTGGGGCACAAACGCAGGGTGGGCCAGCCGATGAAAGCTTGAAGGCAGCGCCAAGAAAATTCTCTTTGTTCGGTTTTGGAAGAGCAGGAACGGATCCTGCATCGGATGCCAATAACGCCAATGAAGCAATCGATGTTTCATGGGCTTCTGATGAACCGCCGAGCCACTGGGCAACTGCGACAACGGCTACTTTCCAGAAATCGAACGAAGTGAGCGAAGATGGCGATGGTGGAGAAGACGACGAAGAAGGCGAAACGAAGAGCTCGCCTCTACACTATGCCAACCACCCGTTTGCAAGTGTTTCGCGAGCTCTCGAAGACAATATCTTGGCTCTGCACAACGGTGAAAGTGCGGGCGAAAAGTCCACCTCTGAAGAAGATGGCGAAGAATCCTCCGAAGACAACGCGAGCTTGCACAGAAAACCAAAGCCGTCTCTCAGTTTAATAGTCTCACCCGACCTGCCAGAGCCATCAGACGACAATGACGCAGCAATTGGTGAAATTAGACCCGCCCCGGCCCAGGACAGCACCTTGATGAAAGTTGCGACTGATACTTACGAAGTGGCAAGTGCAACTTATCAAGCTGTCACGGCCACTGCCACGGCACAGAAGAAACTAGGAGTTGCCTCTGTTGCGGGCGGAATTGCGGGTGGAGTGGCTGGCCTTATGTTTGCTGGTCCAGCTGGTGCCGTAATGGGCGTGAGATACGGTCGCACCGCTGGTGCATTAGGTGTCATCCTGGAAGGATCACTGACCGTGGGTGTCATTGTCGCTGGAGTTGCTGGCGGGAGATTTACGGCCGAGAAAATCCAAGAACAGATTGAAGATCACAGAGTGTTGACGATTGGAGAGACTGGAGTCGCTCGCAAAGTCATGCTGGTCCGCCCAACAATTCGCATCGATCCTGTGTGGAATGATATTAGCGCTGAGGCCCAGCGCACAGCGCCTTCCAGCTCGTTTACCTTATTCTCCGATGGCTTGAAAAAAGATCGCTACGAAAAAACTTCTGATATCATCGAAGAGGACGAAATCCCTACCGATGAAAAGGTTCTGCTCATAGTGAGCAGAGTGCTTAGTGACAAAGACAGTTTCCCTGGACACGTCTACCGCAGCCTGATGCAGGCGTTCACGGACCGATGCGAGCAGCGAAAAGAGCTAATGGTTGAACTTGCCAAGAACAAAGAGGATTACCCGCATCTTTTCGATGGCCCCTCATCGGACTCGGCGGACACTGAGGATTCTGTCAACATGGGAGATGGCGTCAAGCTGTCTCTTTCTCCTCGCGCACGTCGCGAAGACGCCCACGGGGTAATTAAGTACATCACTGGCACGCTGCTGGAAGTTCGTCCAGGTCTGGCATCAACACCACAGATCACGGAGACAACGGCATCAGTGGTTGAGGCGCTTGTCTTTGGACAGGTCTATGATCTTGTGTATGAAGAAATTGCCATTGAGGCCACCGAGAGAGACAAGAAACTGCTTGAAAAGATTGATGATTTCGAGTTCTCCAGTCAAGAGCGCACTGGAAAGCCCTTACAGACGGAGGGCGTCGTTTCCAAGGAAGCCGTTAGTGCACTTCGACAACTACCTGAAACGCACTCGGCCGCCGACAAGCTACGTCACTGTGTCGTGTTTCTTGAAAAGCTCTCAGATCACTTTGCTAATGTTTCTTCCAAGTCGGCCATGGGCGCGGACTCCTTGCTGAAAATGGTTTGCCAACATATCATAGCCGCAAAGATGTCCTATATCAATGCCGAGGTTGCCTTCTTGGAAGAATTCGCTCGTGACGAGCAGCTCTTGCGGGGCAAGGAAGGCTATGCGTTAGTTACTTTACAAGCTTCCCTGCACTTTCTCAACATGAGCAATGACTTCGAAAGAGATATCTTTGGCCAGGACAACGATGAAGAGAACGTCCCTCTGGTGGATCCGAATGGCGAGCATGATGACGAAGAAAACACTGACAAAGAATCGGAAGCAGATGAGAATCTCGAACACATGTCCACGTCGTCTCAGAGTGCAGACGAAAAAAGCATAACTGAAGCCGAGGATAGAGAGGAAAAGAAAGAGGAACCGGAGCAGGTCGTTGAAGAAGACTTGATCTAGTAGGGTTGGTTAGTGTCGACAACGACGCTTGTAACCAGTAGTCTTATAACGCAAGACTGAATGCTACAATGTCCCCCACATATCTCGGAAATTGCCAGCTTCTACTGGGCAAATTGTCTCTCCATGGCAAACCGTAGTGATCTCCAGATTGGGTAGTAAACGTACGGACTGGAACAGTAGTGGGTACAGTCATGCGTGTCTTCACCTTGCAGCGGATGCATACCGTGGTGTTTGGCCGTGAAGTTGAAGTAGGGCAAAACAACAACTTCCTGAACACCTTGATTGGTGTTGTGTTGGTGTGGTGGCATGTTGGGTCCTGCCATAACCAAGGTATGGCCAGATTGATTGGCTGCTCGTTGAATCGCCTTTTCCCTCCAAGCGACAGATTCTCCGTCGTAGAGCATTGGTTTGCATTCCTGCGACAGGTGCTCTCTATTGGGGTACCATAGTGAGAATTCTCCACCGTCTGCGTCAAAGTGTTGGGCAGATGTTTCTCGATGAGCAAGTAGCTTGACAGTCCCCTGCTCTGTAACGTTACGAAACAGGTCCCTCATGGCGGAAACATAGTATTTCGGAGTCCGAAACACATGTGGTTGATTCTCATCGTACCACCAATGCAGTCCAAAGCCCAGAACTAGAACATCAATGTTGGCTGTGAGCATGGCTACGTCGTCTGATACCAGCGGCAGCAAGTACATTCGATGGAATGCAATCGTGATGGATTCCTGCTCTCCCCACGATGGCGATTGGATGTGGAGTAATATGCTCAAAGTGAAGCGTCGATAAATCCAAGTAACTTCGTTCTTGGGGTTATAGTCAATGTACTCCGTTGTTACGTTGTAACCTCGTCTTTGTAACTCGCACAGCAGACCGTCGTGGACCTGGTTATGCATCGAATCCCCCATTAGAGCAACCGTGAGGTTATCTCTCCGAGCTATCTCAACAATTCGGCAAACATCGCATGCCATTGCATTATTCTCGCGTAAGGCATTGTCCTTGAAGAATTGCAGTGTGCTCTGTCTGAGTGCCTCGAGACCGCCATCCTCAATGAGAGACTTTGCGCATTTGCCTCTGTTGGCGGCTGTGACAGCGCCTCCCGTTGAAAAGCTCCCTATACAACAGGTTGTAGGCACTCCCGGTGGCGGAGTGCACGTCCCCGCCACTTCTCGCTGGGTGGCATTGGGACGCACTACTCCCTCCAACGACTTCACTTCCCAGTCGAAAAGATCGAGAACTTCAATATCATCGTAGTGATTTCCATTTACTTCGTCATGTATATGGAGAAAGGATCTCACGCTTTTTGCCGAAGACTTGGCAAATAATCGCAAACTGTCCATCGTTTGAGTAGCACTCGATGACGGTAACTCGTTTGAGCTACTGGAATGAAGGTCTCGTGCATTTTTCAAGGTCGTAACATCGAGCTTGAGAAAGAGCAAACATGCGATTCCCAGAATAGATATCCGAACAAGCTGTCTATCGCATAGCCTCGCCATGATTGAAGGCTCCCTTTGCTTTCTGTTGCAGTGGATTGTGTTGGTCTCTCCGATGGAAGAGTGCTTTTACCGCGGTGCACCTCGAGAGCATCGATTGCGCACCTCCGATTCCCACGAGCATTATCCTTGGTGGGTGTGCGTGCGGGAAACGACCAGTCATCTTGCTCATATCTTTTGCACGATGAACTGTTTCGGCCAGCCCGAGCATCAACCTCGTCAATTGTTCATGCACATAAATTGCATTTACAACATCTGATCCTTTTGGGACGTTGCCGTTCTAGATCTGGCTAAGCGAACGACATGATTGCAAACAAGACGATCTTGACAAAGGCCGAAGCGTTGGTTTGGTGGTATCGCCCCTGCTTTGCCGTGGCTCTCTTGACGGTATTGACAATCGCGACGCTCAGCAACCTCCAAGAAGTCGAAACAGATTTGCTGCTCGTCACAAACATCCGTAGCGTCCAAATCGAGATTGTACGAAGTTCAAGCATAGACTTGAATTCAAGTAGAAGCGATGACCTAAGGCAGAGTCGAGACAAGGAAATGATACAGCGTCACGACGAGGTAACAGAAGAACACCAACGGGAAGTCTACTTTTTGAATCGCACCCACCTTAGCATTAGTGATGGTTTCTCTGCTAGCTGGCTACAAACACGATCAACTTTCACGAAAATGCCCTTTCATTTGATTCACATCTGCGAGGATGCAGCAATCCGATCCTATGACAAGGTAAGCAAAGAGTCGGAGATAAGATCTACTTTTTGCGTATCGTACACTTCAAATGGAGTCTGACTATCTTGGCATAATTGCCCCTTCAGAGAAGAAGACACAGAATGAGAATGACCCTGGACTGGATGGACTTTAGTGTGGAGCACATGTCAAAGTGGTGGAAAATGCTAGAATGGCACAACCCACACCAACCTATTCCATACCAGCGGATCACACAGCAATTCACAGAGTACATCCAAAAAGATGCCAACATGTCTCAAATACAAATTGACAACACATTTCAACAGACAATTGCTGTCATTGCCTTCCAAGCCTATCACAATAAGAGACACCCGTCCAAGGCGCATGATTTGACCATGAAGTCATTGGCCGCTACAATCGAGTCATTGAGGCGAGCCGGATTTGGGAGAGTAACGGTTGGAATTCTTGCAGAAGCTGACTATAACCTTGTCCAAGACACTTTCCAGTTCCTGCTGCAAATGCTGGAACCAACCAAACCTCATGATCCAAAAGAGCTTGTGAAACAGATTGGCCACATGGAAGTTGGCATTGCATTTGGGTCTTCAGAACATGCAAAAACCAAACATGAATCCCAAAATATGCCACGAGCAACTCTCTTGGGCCTGAGAGACTCCTTCCGCTACTCAGAGATGACAGAAGGCAAGAGGACCAATGAAATGACTAGTAACATGACAGCTTGGTTGGGAAATCAAAGAAAGCCTTCATTTTGGCAGTATGTTTATCTCACAGAGCCTGACACAATTCTCCAAGCAAGGCCCAGTGCTTTACCACAACTAAGGGCTGAGGTTGACATGGGATCAGTGCTACTTCCACATCGACTGCAGCCAATCCCACATGAATCAGATCTGAGGGGAATGGATAGAGAGGACTTGTATGTGGCAGAACATGACTTTCCAAAAGTTATTGGCTTGGACCCAAACCATCATGGTGATGCTTGCTGTGATGAGTACATAGGGAAAGAGTCTAGACCTGGGACACTCCCTCACCACAGAGAGTGCAAAAAGCAATTCTGGTACCAGTGTGGCTTTGGTAAGAAGGAACTGGAGATGGAGAACAGGCATGCTCGGCTCAAGCCATACAAATTCATTCGCCTACTGGGAGGTACAGGTATTGTAAGTTTGGCAGGTTCAGAGCATGGGAGGATGTGTATTCCAAGAAAGAATGGTATATGTAGACCCCCTGGCTAGTTAACTCCAGTTTTCTCCTAAGAGTTCATATGGCTAGAGAACCACCCAGGAGCAATGCTTGCTCCAAAATGGCCTTAGTAGCTAAAGTCTTGCTGAAATGCTTGCAATCTGGGAGCTCGCAACTGAAAGGTGACACTTTCAAAGAGGACAAATGAGTGATAATTGCGCGTATCCCTATGTCTTTCCAAAGGCACTGCAATGAGTCCAGGCGCCATCGCCACAAAGGTTGATGCAATAATGTATCAACAAGCAAGTGGTTCGGAGAAGCCAAGATGTACGGAAACGGTGTTGAGATGGAGGCGTCCCATTTTCCGGATCAAAGACGGACTTGCACCTACCGGTAGAACTGCGTTCTTTGCTTTTGACGCTCACAGAAACAGAATGGACCTCTCCTATCCATTTAGAGTTATCCAAGTGAAGATGCGACGTCTAGTAGCTAGCTAGGTAGTGGGTTTATCCTCGCCCAAATCGCAAATGATGCTCTTGCCTTGAGAATCGTTTGTGGGAAGGTCGCGACCTTTCCAGCCCAGGCCACGACAAACTCGCGCGCGGGAATCGGGATCTGGCAAGTTTTGTCTTTTCCCAAAAACCTGGCATCATTTTTGAACTCGAGCAAAACCCAAGCTGCTTCTGTGCTTTGTTCTGCCAGCTATGCATAGTTAAAATAACTATCGCCACAGCATTATTCAAAGCTTGTCACTTCCCTTGATGTCTCATACGAGAATGATTGAAACGGCGAATAGCGTCTCGCGGCAAGAGGCGCAAGCCTTCGCATGCTGGTATCGGTCTTGCTTCGCTTTCGTTCTGTTGGCATTGTCCTCCCTCGCGACTTTGGGTCACCTTCAAGATGTCAGAGCAGAATTACTGGTTGACATGGTAATAAGCCAACAGGCAGATAAAACCCAACAACATCAGGATCTGTCGGCGTCAACGCAAGAATTGGAGAATAAAAACACCACAACAAGGGAAGAAACTCGACTGGTATATTTTTTGAAGACAGAACAACTCAGTCAAAAAGATGGGTTTTCGGGAAGTTGGTTGCAGACACGTTCAGATTTTATGGATATGCCCTTTGATACTATTGGAATCTGTGAGGATGCTGCCTTTCGTGCCTATGACAAGGTAGAAAATTATCGGGATCAATCTGAATTGCAGTGGTTTCTACGCGGTTTGAGACTTACTTGGATTTCTTTTCTGTCATTGCATTTAGGGAAGGAGAAAGAAAATGAGAATGTCATTGGACTGGCTTGACTTTGGTGTGGAACACATGTCCAAATGGTGGAAGATGTTGGAATGGGACAAGAAGGACCCCATTCCTTTTCAAAAGATCACATCCCAATTTACAAACTACATCCAAAAAGATGCCAACATGTCTCAAATACAAATCGACAACACATTTCAACAGACCATTGCTGTAATTGCCTTCCAAGCCTACAAGAACGATAAAGATCCATCCAAGGCACACGATTTGAGCATGAAGTCATTGGCCACCACTATTGAGTCATTGAGGAGAGCTGGATTTGGGAGGGTGACAGTTAGTGTTCTTGTTGAAGCTGACTTTGATATTGCACAAGATGCCTTCTATTTCTTACTGCAGCTGTTGAACCCATCCAAGTCCTATGATTCCAGCAAGATTGTGACTCAAATTGGCCACATGGAAGTTGGCTTTGCTGTTGCGTCGCCAGACTATGCTCGGACAAAAGTTCAGAAAAAGAACATGCCCAAAGCTACTCTGTTGGGCTTGAAAGATGCCTTTGAATACTCAGAGATTGCTGGCAGCAATAGGACCACAGCCATGACCAAGAACATGACAGCTTGGCTGGGAAACAAGAAAGATCCTTCATATTGGAAGTACGTCTATCTCACAGAGCCTGACACAATTCTGCAAGCAAGGCCCACTGCTCTACCACAAATCAAGGTGGAGCTTGACAAAGGATCAGTCCTACTACCCCATCGCTTACAACCAATCCCACATGAGTCAGATGTGAGGGGAATGGAAAAAGAGAACTTGTATGTTTCAGAACGAGAATTTCCAGAAGTCATTGGCTTGGATCCAAACAATGGCAATGACGTTTGCTGTGATGAACATGCAGGGGCTGACTTTAAACCGGGCTTGCCTCCATACCATGCCAAATGCAAATCATTTTGGTATCAGTGTGGCTTTGGTCGAAAAATGCAAGACAAGGAGAACAGGCATGTCCGTCTCAAGCCATACAAATTCATTCGCCTATTGGGAGGTACAGGTATTGTAAGTTTGGCAGGTTCAGAGCATGGGAGAAGGTGTATTCCCAGGAAGGATTCAATCTGCAGACCACCAGGCTATGCCTAGTAACTCCCTGGCCCCGGCCCTGTCGTGGAGCAAGCAGGTATTCACTGCAGGATGCTATTTCTACTATGCCCTCTCTCGAGCTCGGCTGGTGTTTCGGAAACGCTGTGCTGTGCAAGTTAACTATGTTGCGGCTACCCTCTCTAGCTTGAGGCTTCCTTCCAAAGCCATAGATTGAATTGCATCGCGACGCCAGCAGTGGGAGCAATCCCTGTGTTTAACTTTTCAAAGAATATCATTTCCCTGCTTAGAAACATTCCACGCTCTTTGTCTCTCGAAGGTGGAAAGTCACGGAGGAAGTGAACCCCTCGAACTTAGTTAGGCTAAAGAGATTGATTGAGTTGACTTGTTGCCTTTGTTTTCCTTTAGATGTGCCGCGAACTGAGCGTGAACAGCCAAACGCAGCATTCTACAACTCTAGAGTCTATCGTGATAAGCTACTCTTCGCAGATACATGAGACGTGATAACCAGGGCACAATACAACTCTTTACAGTCACCGGACCAATCGTGAAACTAAGCCAGGCTTATCCCATCCATCAGTTGATCCCAAGGACATCATCCAAAGCCGATGACACTTGCGCCAAAGAAATACCTGGGTTTGTGCGCATCAGATCTGAAACAATCTGTACAAGTTGTTTCTTTGAAACTCCTGCGTCTCCCAAACCAACGAGAGCCCGATAACGGGTGAGCCCCTTCTTCCTACGTTTGTTTGCCTCCGCTGAGCTTTCACAGTTGATGCTGTGTGAATCGTTACTCGTGTTCAAAGGCTGTGAGGTAGTCAAGGCTTCCACTAGAAGACTGTCAATCATACTCATCACACGACGGGCAAATGACACCTCCGCTCGGTGTCGCCTTGCTGCGCGCTTGGCTTCGGCGACCGCAGCCATGATGTTTCGAAAGTAGGATTCAACCTTCTCGTCAACGTCGCCCGCCATGTACCTATCGTAGACATCAAAGAGTACCGCAAGCTTGAAGATTGTCTTGGCAACGAATTCGTTTGGCATCCTATCCATGGAGCTGTGATGCTTCGGCATACAGTAGATAAAGGAGTACGTCAGCTTTCTGGACACGACGGCAAACTTCTTTGCAATTTTTTCTCGTGCCTCCATTACTGCCGCTATAAGTTGCCTCTTTTCATCAAAGCTAGACGTTGTAGAGGGCTGGAGATAGCAAAGAATGGCTGGGATGGGTAAGTCCTCTTGGATGTTGCTATGGAATGTAAAGCCTCCGCGTCGTGCCATCCTTGACTCGAAGCTGCTGCTTCTTTCGATCATGGCGGTGCTGGGTGCAGGGATTTCGACTTGTGTTGGCATGTTGATTGGAATGAACGATTCTGAGAATCAAGTACTTGTACCTTCCTAATCTGTGTGTAATTGGTTGTGGTTTTTTGGAGACCAAAGTTATGAGATAGATCGAAGAGGGAGTCGATTCGGTATCACCAGTGGCAACTCGCCGTGGCATGTTCCGATTTCTCGCTTTCTTCGTGCCATTTCACTTTCCACGGGAGCGAACCCACGGGAGCAGTTTCCACGATCTTTGGGATCTCCCGCCAGCAAATATCGTGTGAACCGGTACGGTAGGGTTCGTTTGCTCTCTCTCTCTCTCTTCCTGAACCACGACAAGCTATTAACAAGAGTGCTGGTGGAAGAGAGATTGTATTATTTTTAACAGGGCATCAACGAACCCAATGCTCGCGGGTCGTGGTTGGAAGCCATTTGATGGGACATTGCTGATTTTCGCAGCATGTACCCATTGACTTTGTTACGGCGAAGCTTCAAACATGCCAGTTCATCAGCCGCAAAAAGAAACCGAAACTATGAATAGACTAGTTTGACAACTCTATAATAAGAATGAGCATTGGTGCTGTTCTGGTGTGTCTCTTTTTGACTGGTTGCCAGCCTCACTGTCGGATTTTCAGTTATTCGAAACAAGAAGCTCGCGGTTACTGTCATAGAAATAATACCACCTAACTGACCCATTCATTATTAGCTTGGTCTTCTCAGGCTTTCATACTCCTCCAGATCAGGAGGCACACATACATCATTCTTTTTGGGCAAACAGGGTCGACCGTGTTCCAAGGCGGCAAGACTAATGATTTCCGTTCCCTGCTTCAACTTGATGAGTGGGTACTGTCGAATTCGGTCGTGGGTTCTATTTTCCTTTGGAATCCGGCGGCTAAAGTCGCACATGTACCAAAAGTTTCCACATCCCTTCATCATGGGTGGTTGTCCCGGTTTGTATTCGGGTCCCTTGTGATGATCACAGCACGCATCTCCTTCGCCAATAGAATCCAGTTCAATAATGGGTGCAATGTCCTTTGGCAAGAACAAGAAATCTCGTGGATGTCCGGGGGCATCATCTTCGTGAGGAATAGGTTGCAATCGGTGCGGCACCAGGACGTTGCCGAGATCCACTTCCTGTTTGAGTTTTTTGAGGGTACTGGGTCGCGTCTGGAGGATGGAATCTGGTTCTGTCAGGTACACATATCTCCAGTAGGTTGGTTCCTGTCGATCTCCTAGCCACTGCTTCATGAATTCCGTTTCCTGGTCGGTAAGCGGCTCTTTTTGGATGCTATGTTGCAAGGCCGTCTTGAGCCCCACCAGTGTGGCCTTTGGGACATTCTTGGCTAGATGAGGCGTTTTGGCATCGGTTTCATTGAACTCCACAAATGCCACTTCCATGTTTCCCACCATGGTGGCCAGTGTCGTGTTGGCTACCGTTTCGCCTTCGACCAACCCCTTCAAGTGCCGAAAGGTGTCCTGACAGACCAAATAATCTTCCCCCCACGGATCCAACCCCTTGGGCCGACCAACGACGACGATGCGCCCCATTCCCGCACGACGGAGTGACTCCATGGTACTGGCGAGAGATAGTTTGGTGAGTTGATAGGATTGTTCCTTTTGTTTGCCATCCTTGTATTGTTGAAAGGCAATGACGGCGACCGTTTCAATAAAGGAGGGATTCTCTTCCATGGGAAAGGTGGCTGCCTTGGCCAAGTAATTGTCGAATCGTGTCTTGGCGGTATCAAAGACCGTTTGGAATTCGAATATTTTGAGCATTTTCCACCATTTGGACAAGTGTTCGAGTGAAAAGTCGAGCCAATCCAAAGTCATTCGTAGCCTGTGTCGACGGTACTTGAATGCCTTGAAGGCAGCATCTTCACAAATGTTGATGCGTCTCAGATCCATGACCAAAAAGTCTTCGGTTCGTTGAATCCAACTAGCGCTAAAGGCATCCTTTTCGTTGACTTGTCCGTTCTTCATGAAATAGACGGGGCGATCTTTGAGCAGTTCTTCTTTGCTCAATGATGATGACGAGTCGTCTCCTCCTTTGCTGTTCTCCTCTGGCTTGTTTTCCTGTGCTGCCTTGAGGGAGGATTCTTTCGTGCTCTCTCTGACTGGAACTGCTCTGTTGTTGCTGTTATCTTGTTTCTTGCTGTCTGCTCTGTTGCTATTGCTATTGCTATTGTAGTTGTTGTTGTTGTTGTCCTGTTTGGCTTGCTCTGCCTTTTGCAGCTCTGCTTTGAGCGTGGCAATGACTGTCCGCTCGTCTTCCCGCGTATTGAATGCCTCGTTCTTGGCATCGTCTCGTAGCATGTTGCGGTTCTGTTGTTGTGGTGGTTCAACATCTTGGGTTGTCATGGCTCGCGAGGATGCCAGAATGAGTTGTGGTTCGGTAGATTCACGAAAGCGATGCATAAACGCCAAGACGGAAATTCCCACCAGGAGCGCCACAAACCAAACGGGACGGGACGAAGAATTCGCAACTTTCGAGAGTTTCCGGTTACGACGAGTAAACGCCATGGTTGATGGTTTATTCGGTATATGTATATTGGATGGTCTTGTTTGTTGGGCTTTTCTCTTCTCACCAAAAAAAAAGAGAGATTGTGGGCTTTTTCTCTCGTCTCTTGCTTCCCTCGTATTGCTACTAGTATCTCTTTGGGCTTGTTGGTACCTCCTCTCACGTAGTTTTCTAGCTAGTAGGATGTTTCAATGCCGGCCCAACCAGTGGCGATCTACGGGCCCTTTCAGATTTCAAGATTAGCTCTTTTATGAGGCAATGCATTCTCTTGGCTGATGAGCATGCAGCCAAGGATGTTCGGTTTGCCAGGTTGTCGAGAGGCCTCCATCCAACTGATGATGACCGGGCTTCATTCATGCGATCAACGCGAGAGAGCTGCGAGAGATAAGGGCCGTAGTCTTGGGTCGGTGGTTACTGGTTAACTTCAACGCCAAAAAAGACCTACAAATGACCTTCCCTTCATTTATGACCAAAATTTAATAATATCAGTAGGGTTCGAGGTAATTCAACGATACAAACTTGTTCTCAAAGATCCTCGTGGTTTCTTTCTCATTGCCATCACGATCCTTCTTGCGAATCAACCATGCCATCCTCCTCCACTATTATCAAACAAGTTGCTTCCAAGATGCTCATTCTCAGTGAAAAAGACGTTCGTCGGTGCTTGTCCATGAAGGATTGTTTGGAAATCAATCGCAAGGCATTAATGGCCGTTTCCACCAACAACCCTGTCGCCACAACACTCGCCGGAGGAACGGCCACGGTGCCCACTCGCATTGGACTGCCAGGTCCCGTCACCAACCAAGAGGGTGCCGAAGATTGGACGTTGTTCAAACCAGCCGCCTTTTATGCCTCCGCCAATAGTAGTAATTCCTTGATGGGCATGAAAATCGTCTCGATACGATCCCAGAATCCAGCCAACCACGGACTCCCCTTGGTGCCCGCCACAATAATGGTATTGGACGCGGAAACGGGAATTGCCAAGGCGGTCGTCGCGGGAACCTATTTGACAGGAGCTCGAACGGCAGCTTCCAGTGGGCTAGCGACACAATTGGTATTGTCCAATAATAATAAGGAGGTACAACATCTCGTGGTGTTTGGGGCCGGGTTGCAAGCCGAATGTCATATTGATGCCATTCAAACGGCCATGGGGGCACCCATTCCCAAAATCACCCTGATCAATCGAACACTCCCACGAGCGGAACAGTTGAAACAACAAATAATGAGTGCCAATCCACAAAATGCCGTCACCACCACCGAGGTGGATGTTGTGTTATTAGACGACAAGACGGCTATTCAAGAGGCATTGTCCACCGCCAGTGTCATTGCTGCCACGACCAATGTGACACAACCACTCTTTGAGGACGGTATGGTGTTACCTGAAGGATGTCATATCAATGGCATTGGTTCCTATACACCGGATATGCAGGAAATTCCCGTCAGTGCCGTGGATCGATGCCGGATACTCATCGATACTCCGAATGCCAAAATGGTGGGAGATTTGAAGCATTTGGCAGAAAAAACTAATACAGAGCATCCCATCACATTACTAGGAGATGCGCTGGCAGATCCACAGAGCTTTTCTCCAGCAAACAATGGCAGTCTGTATGACTGTACGTTCTACAAGGGGGTGGGAACTGCCATTCAGGATGTCATGACGGCAGACTTTGTCGTCACCAAGGCCAGGGAGCTGGGAATCGGAACTGAAGTGGAAATGTAGTTTTATTAATTAAAATTACTACGTTGTAGCTAGAAAGAGCGATACTGTAAACGTTGCTGTTGCACTGGCTTGTACTGGTATTGGTGCCCGGTTAGTAAGCAACCAAGTTCAGTCTTGCTCATCGTGCCGTTTGAAAGTAAAAGGGAGCCGCCAAAGTAGTGGTACGAGTACACTGTAACCTTGCTTTCTCGAGCGGGTACCATTGCGGGAGAATACCACTCCCTGCACCAAAGTAACAGTTTTCGGTTGTGTGTTCCCTTCGGTTTACCAACGAAAGAGACATAAAGTAACGTAATCTTTGATTATGTATTTGTCCTTAGCTACCGCGAGTGCAGCCAATTTTTTACTTAATACTAGTAATGCGGCTGACAGAGACCGAATGAAAACTTTGAATTCAAGAACCTGCCTCATCCGCAATGCAAAGCCAAACGCTTTTAAGATGTGCGCGTGCGCTTGGATGAAGCGGGCTCCAAAGAGTAACCACGTCCGCTGTAGCTGTTGCGCTTCTTGGCCGGTTCTTGGTTTGTACCGCCATCTTCTTTGCCGGGAGTAGGTGCAGCCTCTTGACTGGTGCTGTCTTCCTTACCAGCGCCAACTGCATGAGGTGGGGGCGCACCACCGCCGCCACCTTGCTCGTCTCGAGGAGGCTGCGAGAAGGAGTCTCGATTTGCTGGGAAGCGATTGTCATCTCCCTCGCCACCACCACCACCACGTCCGTAGTAATCAGCGGCGTCACCGGAAGCACCAGCTGGAGGCTCCCAAGTGCTGCTACCACGCTGGTTGTTGCCATTGAGCCGGCCATTTCTGTCCTCAGAACGATCATCCGGACGGCCATAACCGTCATCATGGCGCCTGCGATCGTCTTCTCCACCTCCATATCCTTCACCGCCTGGGCCGTAGTTGCTGCTCCTTCGCCTGTCGTTGAAGCTGTTTCGTCGATAGCCGTCACGGCGATCATTGTAGCGACCTCCGCCTCCACGATCGTCGTGGTAACTACCTCTGCGATTGTCGCGACCGTCATAGCCGTGTCCGCCGCGGCGATCCTGGTAACGATCGCTCCCACGACGGCCACCTCCGTTGCGGTATCGGTCGTTATCATCATTGTAGCTCCCACGGCGATTTCTGGAATCGTAGTGGTTCCTTCCACCTCCTCCACCACCATACCTGTCGTCGTGTCGACTGTTCCTCCTGTCGTGATGATCACTGCCACGACGGTCGCCTCCTGGACGGCCACCATCTTGATCATACCTACGGCTGCCCTCTTCCTCAGGGAAACGGCCGCCGCCGCCACCTCCTGGTCCTCGTCGATCCTCGAAAGCCTCTGGCTGTGCGGCTCCTTGATCGGCAGCCTGGTCTTCTCCACGTCTGAATTCAGGAGAAGTGCTTTCTGTTTCCACGCGAATGAAAGGAGGGCCACCCATATTGGCATTCTCCGGACGATAGCGAGGTCTGACCTTTTGCTCAACGTCGGGGAACTTGTTGGCTGTTGTTTCCTCTTCTTTGTAGGCTTCGTACCCCTGCAGATCAAAGATCACACGGCCACCGTTTTGCTTGACAACCTCGATTAGCTTTTGTTTGTCGATGTGAACTCGGCCACGGTTTGGCTGAGGAGTTTCCTGTATATTCATGAATTTGAGCATCGCTCGAACACGCTTTCGCATTCCATCGTCACCTTGTCGCGCTCCGCGAAGGCGTGTTTTTCCGTACCCAGTCACAATTGAAATGGACTGAACAGCTTCCAATTTGGAGGTATTCACAAGGTAAGGAACCAAGCATTCCTCAAACCACCACCCAAGAGCAATTTCACCACCGCCCAAAGACAGAAAATGCAAATCCAACTCCAGCCATTGGGTTCCCAAACGAGAAACCCTGGCATAGAAACCTTTCTCAACACCTACATAGTGTAAACGTCTCCAGGTAAGCACAGATGCCACGCCGAACTGCCCTCGAAAAAACAAACCACATCACCACAATCTCACCTTCTTGAAACAGTTTGCGACCCAACTGGATCTGACTGCTCACAGCATCCAACACAGCGTTGTATGTCACAACGTCTCTCGTCACGCGCACTTCATCCATTTCACGAAACAATTCGTATCCCTTTTCCCACAAGTTGCAACGAGCACAAGCCGAAATCGCACTGTTGTAGATGTGCACATTTGGAGACACTCCTTCGATTTTCATACGGTCCATCAGCTGGAAGGCAATGTCCGCGCGGCAGCACTTCTCCATGCAAGACATGGCGGCACCAAAGATGATGACGTTCTTGCTAATGCCCATTTCGGTCATTTCATCCAGGTACTCCAAGCACTGGCGGAACTGGAGTCCCTTGTCGCAGGCACTGATCGCACTTCCGTAGCTAACCACGGTAATGGGCAGATTGCGAGATTTCATCTCATCAAATAGGTCGAGAGCTCTCTCCCACTGGAGACCTTTCTCCAAAGCTGTCATTGTCGCATTGTAGGTTACGATACTGGGAGTTCCTCCAGAAGCTTCAATCTCTCGGAATAGCTGTAAAGCCAGCTCCCATTGTTGTCCTTTGCTCAAGGCTGAAATGGCGGCCGAGTACGCCACAACGTTGGCACCGTGCCCTTCCGCCTTCATTTCTTCCAGCACTTCTAGAGCCAACTTCCACTGCTGTCCTTTCTCGGCAGCACTGATCAATGCTGAATAAGTCACAACGGTTGGCTTGATTCCTTCCCTCTTCATTTGTTCAAAGATTTCGACGGCTTTGTTGGGGACTAGACCTTTCTCACAGGCACTAATGGCCGCATTGTAGGCGATTGCTGTTTGTCCTGCTCCTTCCTTTTTCATTTGATCCAACAGTTCCAGCGCGGTTCGCCATTGCCCACACTTTTCGCAAGCTGAAATGGCGCTCGAGAAGCTGTTTCGCGTAAACAAGAAATCAAATCGAACCAAATGAGACGACATTTAGGAGGATGGAGGAGGGGTTATTACATATGGCACAATTTTTGAACTCACGTCACTTCGTTCTTGGCGATATTCTTTTGTTTCATTTCCTCCATCAAATGCAGAGCCTTGCGATAATCTTTAACTTTCTCGCAAGCACTAATCATGGAATTGTAGTGGAATGTGTTTTTGGGGATTCCCACTTGATCAATCCAATCCCAAATGGCTTTTGCCAAATTCATGTTTCTGCGTCGTGCCACACTGGAGATGATTGCCGTGAGGGCCTTGCCGGATTCAAAGACTTCTCGATGTTTTTCTCGGGCAATTTCCAATTCTTGCGCCACGCCTTGTTGGTTGTGGGCTCTCTGTAGACGATCGACAAGCGCCTGAATATCCATTCCTTTAATAATATGAGACCCACCGCCACCGTGTCCTCCATGATGTCCATGGTAACTTCCACGGCGGCCACCTCGTCCACCGCGATGTCCTCCATGATGTTCTTGTAACTGTGGATTCTCTTCCATGTACCTTCGGTATTCTCGAAAGGTCATGTCATCTCGATTTCGGGGAGGAGCCGGACCTCGTGAATTATAGCCGCCACCTCGGCCGCCACCACCACCACCGCCTCGGTGACTATGATGCTGCTGCGGAGGCCGACGATCATAGTCTTGTGGTGGTTGTTGTTGCTGCTGCTGTTGTGGAGGAGGCTGTTGTTCTTCCTGCTTGACGGGCGGCTGCTGATCCTCGCTCTTCTTCTTATTTCCATCGTCATCTCCACCTTCTTCCATGTTGGACGTCTCTCGATCGCGAAGATCCGCTCGTTCTCGATAGCCACGCTTGAAATGGTCCAACGCTTGAGGGGCATGCCGTTCGGGTCCAGCTCCTGGGACAAAGTTGGAGCCATGATCGGCTTCACTGGGGTCGTTGCTGTGGGTCATGACACAGCAGTCATTAAGTAAAAAGACAGATTGTCGCAACAAAGTAGAGCACCGCAAAAAAAATCCAAATCGTAGAGCAAGCAGATTGAGTGGAGGAGGAAGAGCAAAAGAAGCCATTGTTGAGTCATCAGTCATCATATCATTCCAGCGATTGTCATGTTGTATGGATCAGTTAGCTCCACGCTCAAACGAAGTTGTGGTTGTTGTGATACTTCCAAATATATACCGTTATAACAAGAGAAGATTGTTGTGGACCCAATAGAAAGCACGAAACAACACAGACAGACACAAGCACGGTGGATTGACGAATAATACAAGCAAGCACTAGTAGTAGACAGTTTGTTGAGTGACAGTCGTTGTGTCGGCCTTCTCACTCATCCGCACAGACGACCGTTCATCATGGCGATGATAAAAGACCGGATGACGTCTGGCAAACAAGCAAGAAGGTCGGTCCGCAACAAAAAAGTAGATTGGAGCAAATTGCATGCAGCAGCAAAGATAGAGATACGAGGGTTTGTCGAGTACAAGAAATGGCAGGCAAGACAGGTTGTTGCAGTATTGAAGTCTCATCACGGCCGCGGTTGTTGTGGATACCGTACGATCGACTACTACGGAGCTTCTACGTATTGTTGCGTTGCGTTGCGTTCTCACCTGCTCATCCTTGCGGTTTGTCGTTCCTTCCTCCCTCCTTCCTTTCGCCTAACATATAGATTGTTGTTTGTGGTCTGAGCTTCTAAAGTAGCTCCTCGATCCTCCTTCTCCACCAAAGGCAATCGTAAGCAATGGTCAAATCCAATCAACCAAAACGAACATGAGTTTTTGAGAGTGTCATGCGGTGTGTGGTCCTCTTTCGAACTTGGTCGAATGGATCCAAAATTGAGTCGAGTCGGATGAGTGACGAGTCAAGTCGAGTTTCAGTCGTAGTCATCGAATGAAAATATTCGAACATATCATCGACACGTTCGAAAGGTGGCCGAATTTCCTTTCCTCTTTCACTCATCAACTCTCAAAGTCAAAGAAACAACAAAGCAATGATGGACTGGTACAACAACGACGAAGACAACCACCGCTTGGACGATGACATTATTGTAGTGCAAGAGACACGATATCATCATCATCCCAATGACTCGCTCCTGATCGATCAGCAGAGCCAAAACCTGTTTCTTCTGAGCCCCACCCAGCGACGATCACCACGACGACAGCGACCTTTGGGGCCAGGCGCTACAGCAGCCATTTTGGCCGCCAGTCAAGAAGAAGCGCGACAGCATTACTTTGGTGGTGATGGTGATGATGGTAGTGCATCGGACGGGGATGAAGCAAGTCACAATCAAGAGGAAGCATCCCCTCAGAATGCCTTTGCCAGTCTGGAATCCTTATTGCAACAGCAACCAACGTTGTCCATGACACAGGAGGAAGAGGGCAACCACGGAGGAGATGAAGCGAAAAAGGCCAGTTGTTTGCCTGTGAACAAGGAGTGTGGACCATTGGACACCTCTGTCACCGCAAAAGAAGACGACGAAAAAGAGAATGCCCAAACTCCATTGTCGGCATCAATTTCTCAGCAAACCAAGGACAAACCGAAAAGGAAAGAGGGTGAAAGGGATGGCGACAAGCATGACGATCCAATGGCTTTTCGGGACGAAACAAGGGTTCCAGAGAAGTCGTCATCACCGGCACATGAATCTTGGCCAACCACAAATGATGATGATGGCAATGACAGAGGAAGATCTGATTTTGTGGATTCATCAGGAATAATGCCACCCAGATCCCGTTCACACAGCAGCAATAATAAACACAGCAACAAAAAGCGATCTGCCGAGTATCACAATAACAGTGACTTTAGACGACAGCAACAACGGCGCACGTCGTCCAGTCGCAGCAACAAGACCAGCACCAAACAGTACAAAAAGACAATCCACCATTCTCCCTCCATGATGATGATGGAAGTGGAACCCAGCAAAGCGTTGCGTCGCCAACTGCAAAAGAGCAAAAAGACGAGTCGGTCCAGGTCTGCTGACAGGCAAGATCTGACAAACAGTCGACCTTGGAAGCGTCGACAACATCGATCCTCCTCGCCGGCAGTCGTCACACAAAAGAGGTCCAAATCGCCAACGGTGGAGAAATCCAATCGATCTTTGGTTGGTTCCAGGTAGGCAGGAAGAAAAGAAAGGAAGGGTCGCACGCATCAACACTCTGTTTGACTTAGCATTCTCTCATTTTGCTTCTTTCTTGGCATTATCACAGACCCGCAGGTTGGGAAAGAGGTCCACTGGGTGGAATATCGTTTCGCAGCAGCACAAGTCGTGGTCGCAGCAAAAGTGGGGATCGACAACGAAAGCGTCCGGATGATTCTTACAACAACAACTCGTCCACCAGATTGCGACAACAGCAACAGAACGGGCGTCGACGCAATACCACAAAGCAGGACACGGCTTTTCCGATCAATGCTTTGGTGAGTGCATCTTTCAAAACAACAACGACAACAACCCCCACAACACGAAAGCGAGGACCTAGCATTTTTGACGATAGAACGCAAATGATGACGACGACGAATGATGATTCTGATCCAGAACCCATGGATGTTGACCAGATTGAAGACAACCTCTCCGACGGGGAGAAGGAAGAGACGCCGACAAACAAGTCAGCAGCAGTGCAACACACCTCCTTCTTGGCTACCGTCCGAGCACCGAGTCGACGCAAGTCCACCGGCGACAAGAGTGGAGATGCCGTCACAATCACCAACAACAATCCTGGACTGCTAAAGCTCTTGCAGAAACTCAGGAACGATATACAGAGGGACAAGACGTGTTTGCGTAGTGGCGAATACCCGTTTCCGAACAAGATTTCCAGTCGATTTGACGACTGTGATCCCCGCTGCCGTGCTTCCTCTTACATGGATGTCACAATCGTGGGTGAAACCTGGTTCCCATCGCATGACAATGGCAGTTCGGGTCGTCAGGCACGGTCCAACTCCAGCATGGTCGTCTTGGGCTACATCCACAGTCATCACCTGTATCCAGAACGGTCTGCAATGACATCAATAACGCAACCGACGAGCAGCTGTTTTGCGTGGATCAACTTTTCCGGAGAGACGCTCCAAGAGCATGGCCTCCTTAGCAATCCAGCGGGGAATCAGCTCAGAATCTACAATGCTGTTGTCGTCCCGCTTGTGGTAGACAAAAGCGTAGACAGCCAAGAGGAGATGGCCACGACGAACGTATGCCGTTTCAACGTCATCTGCTCTCAGCTCTGCGAGCCATACCCGACACAGATCCTTGGGCAGCTAGAGCCGACCATCTCTGAACTCTTGGCACCAACTCGCAGTGAGGGCGGCCTGCGAGGAGCAAGTCTCGCGCCATGAGTCTTGTCGACCAAAAAGCAATAGATTCACGGCGAACTTGGACAAATGTCTGCTGACTAGCTACAGGAGGAAAGTGTCAACAGCAGAAATGCACCAATTTGTCTTTCCTAAGGCTCCTATTCAGTGGAGTAAGTAGGAATATGAGCACAATATTTCAATATTTACTAAAACCCAATGCGCCCAAGATTTAGTAGATCTAGGTGTCCTTGTGGGCAATTATCCAGTACCGTAGTAAAAGAAGGGAGCACCCAGTGGGGAAACTGTAAAGATAGCGTCCTCCCAATGGAAGTATTGAAGTCTGTGTGAACTGTGTTGGTCCTGACTGTTACAAAACTCCAATCGCTACCGAGCCTGCGCCAATCCTCACGGAGCCAGCAACAATCGTCACCGATCCGGCACCAACGGTTGATGACACCACGACCGCAACATCTGGTCCTGGAACCAGGCGTGATCCTCATTTTAAGACTCATGGAGGCCAAATGTTTGATTACTATGGAGGAAGCGGCTTGGTCCTCCTGGACAACCTGACTTCCACAACGCTTGACCATTCATGCTCGTACCCGCATCGTCACGTCTCCGCCATGTGGGGAGAAACAGTGGGTCAATTCTCCTTTCTCTTTGAATGAATCGAATGCATCTCTCTGAAGCTAACATGATTCATCTGGTGAATTGTTGTGTGGTTTTCAGGATTTTGCAGATGGTATGTGCTCAAATCGAAATTGTCAGTTTGTAGGGCCCAGCTAGTACGGTAGGGCAGCACGATCTTGTCCTGTGGCTCATTCCTCTTTTTCCTTTTCGGCTGGAGTTTCCTCGACATGGACGGTAGACAACAGGATGGTCCCCACAACGACACAGAGGAATCCCATGAGCCATGTTCTTGAGAATTCTTCCTCCCAAAGCAAAAAGCCCAAGGCAGAAGAGACGACAAAATTGGCCGCAGTGGACATGGCCGTTCCCGCGATACTCCCGCTTTCTTCCATTCCCTCCAAGAAGCTTCCAACCATGAAAATATTCAGTGCCAGAGTTCCCACAAAACAGAGTCCTCGAGCACTATACACCAGCAAATAACAATACTGCTTGTCGTTACATCCCTCCAGAATCGACGTAGTCAGGAAGGTATCTGTCGAAAAAGCAAACTTGGCCAAGCAAGAAGCCAAAGCCCCAAACGCTCCACTCAGCAAAGAAAAGGGAACAAAGGAACTTGTCATACCAGTAGTCTACCGTCCTGTGTAGCTGTCTCTCTTCAACTAACTGTTACAAGCTGAGCACTCAGTCAACAGGGACTGTGGAAGGTGGGAGGCGAATGGGACAAAGGGCCAAGCTTCTCATGGCAAAAATAAAATAATGAAAATAAGATTGCTTTCTGGCTGGATTGATCTTCGAGGCAAGCCGAGAAACCGTTGCCTTTTTGGGTCAATAGCTGTAAACTGCATGGTTGTCAGCCGTCCAGTGACCGGTGAGAACCCGTCCTCTGAAAAAACAAGAAACAAACCCGTGAGTTGAGCTCTCTCGCTTTCCCGCAGCGAATCATTTATTTGTGGATTATTCAGTAGATTTCCCAGGACCAGCCCTCCCAAGCCGAGAAGTTGCGTTACTTCCTGGACCATGGGCACCTTCAAGTACAGCCATGTGGGCCCAACTAGCCCAAGGGCGGCAAGCGCAGACGACAACAATGATTCGACCAAGGCGTGGTCCAAATTGTTGATTGTGGCGCCGTTCTTTCATTTCTTTGTGGATCCTTTGACACTGGTTCTTCCTCAAGGTCTTATTTCCGCGATTGTCAAAGTGTCAACCATGTGGCGAAGATTTTTGACCAAGAGACCCTTTTGTACTCCTCTCCTGTCGGACATTACTGTGGCCCATGTACTGCTCTGCATTCCCTTGTTTTACTGGTTTGTCGCGGCTACCGATTTGGCCTTCAAAGCACCCACGTCGCACCATTCCTTAAAGCACAGCGGCAAAATGACATCCTATGCCATGGCATTTTCTTTTTTGACTGCCAGCAAGAGTCATTCCTTGGTATCTCTCTTGACCGGACTTAGCTTTGACCGACTCGTGAATTTTCATCTGGCCAGCTCCCTCTTGTCGCTATGGATGGGTTATCTCCATGGCATTAACATTGCCTACTACCATCGAGGAGATAACAAGACGCATCATCACCACGACCATGATGACCACCACCACAGCCATGACGACCATGATGAACACCACCACGACGAAAATGACGAGGACCATCACAGCCATGACGATCATGATTCTCACGATCATGGGCATCACAGGAGACTCCATCATGATTCGATTCATGCCTACTTGGGTACAGATCCCAATATCTCCAAGTTTTTCTTTGACGGAGACAGAAACACCAGTGGATTTTTCGTCTTGGTCGCGTTAGCAATCTTGGTCCTTACCAGCGTCTTTCATCCCCTATTTCGAAAATGTTGGTTCGAAGGATGGTTGATTTATCATGTGACTTCGGCTGTCATTGTTCTCATTGCGGGAATGGTGCACGGGGCGGATATCTTTGTCTTTTGCATCATCTGGTGGGCATTGGACTTGCTCATTCGATACGGGGTCATGGTTGCGACCCGGTATCCCAAACAAGCCAAAGTCACTCGGGTGGCGGAAAATATCACCATGATCCAATTTCCAAAAACCAACAATTTTCAATTCCAGGCGGGACAGTTTGTGCAAGTGGCAGTGCCATCTGTGCGCCTGTGGGAATTCCATCCATTCTCCATTGCGAGTAGTCCCGATGAGTCTCATATCACCCTCTACGTCCGAGCTCTCCCCGACGCCAAAACCTGGACGAGAAAATTGTATGATTTGGCGGCTCCTCTGGATGAGAATAAAATCAGTACCATCTCGCATCGAGCATTTCTGGAAGGACCCTATGGGAGTCTTCCACCCATTCTGGACGATTCCTGTGCTCGTGAGTATTCCATGGCGGTGCTCGTTAGTGGAGGGATTGGTGTCACTCCTTGCTATGGCATTGCCAAATGCCTGTTGGCCACGCCGCCACCATCATTGCAAAAAATTCGCTACATTTGGAGTGTGCGGGACGAGGGTATGGTCCAGGCCATTCCCCCACCAACGTTGCCGGAATCTGGGGTGGCTGGTTTGGGTGGTGCAAAGACCACAACTTCTAGCATCGAAAATGGCATAGAGTTGGTAGAACGAGGTAGCAGTAATGGAACTGACGAGAACGAGGAAAACGAGGCAGTGCTCAACGGCGAAGAGAGCAACGGCTTGGATGAAACAGTGTCGGCACAGCGATCGTTGGCTCTGCAGACCGATATCTATATTACTCAAATGGACAAGTTCGTCGAAGATGGCGACGAGGAAACGGATAATGCAAAAGAAGCGGGGGCAACGGAGACCCAACAACCACACCTACCGTACACGATCCATCGCGATGGAAGGCCCGATGTCCATGCCATCATGAAACAAGTTCACGATGAGGCGTCGAAGCAAGGTTGGGGCCGTGTGTTTGTCATGGGATGTGGCCCATTTTCTCTTCTGGAAGAGCTTCAAGTTGCTTGTCGAAGAAGTCAAACCAAGGAAGTTCAGATTGATTTTCACCAGGAAGTCTTTGACTACTAAAGGAGCAGATCTAATAACCACACAGATTGGGTTCAATCACTCATGCATGCAACCAATAGAAAACACCACTCATACGTTCAATTTGAGCATTTCAATTTGAGCATTTCATTTCAGCTGAAAGATAAAACACACTGGCGTGTTTGTGAGGGCCTTTTTAGTGCTTTTTGTGCCCAACATGAGCAGTCCGTACGGTAGAACAGTGTGTTCGCAAGTTCCTGTGATATCCGTATTGGCCTGCCACCAAGAAGAAGTGCAATAGCAAAACTCATGGCCACAGCAAGAATATATATATTTTGACAACATAGGATAGAGGCTGCCCTCAACGAAATTGGAATAGATTGCCTTGAGACGGCCAACCAGCTTCAGCTAGCCAGGTACCAGTACCTACCTGTTTTTTCATTGTTCTCACTCAGTTTGGTTTGGCATTACGTCAAGGAAATCTTGCGGAGTCGAGTGACAGTCAACTGCGTTTGTGCACGCACAATGTGGACTGCCTTTGTCAAGCTCTCCTCCGATCTTCCTTGATTTTGATCGCACCTACCGGTATTGGTAGCTAGTAGTACATGTATGTAGTACCTAACTACCAGTAGCTAGCTAGCTAGCAGACTAGCTACGCTTGCCCCAGGTGCGATACGGGACTCCAAGTCCCGGATATTTTTCGTGACTCAAATGCAAAGTCGGTGAACCTCGTCTCTGGTCTCCTCATTTACTCCAAAGCTCGCCCTTCTCAAGTCCAAAGAGACGTCGTCCACAATCAAAACATTGTTGTGTTCCCCGCAGTGGCGTGGGGATGATCATCGATCTGTTCCCATGATGGCTGTTGGAGCGCGAGCGAAAGTTCCAATTTCTCTCGACGACTGCCACTCTGGGCCTTTGGCCGACGATTTTTCACGTCGCAAACGTCCCAAGCTGCGGGTACGAACAACAGAACCGAAAAAGAGATTTGCCGTCGCAGAGATGAAGAGCATTTGACGTCGGAGCCTCTGAATTGATCGCTCATCTTTGATGGCCTTCGTCTTCGGTGCCGCTTGTCTTGCGTGGAAGCTTGGTCGTCCGTTGGTCTCTCCTGCATAGATCGAATGGAGCTCGCTCTCACCTGCATTGTTTCTTCGAACCCGTTTTTCTAGGAGATCCAAGCGACAAGGCGTCGTCTCAAATGCAGACCTCCCACTCGAAACGCATTCAAGCACGACGCGATCAACGTTGTCGCCTGTTGGGAATCGAATCGTGCCCTCAAACGCCCCATCATGATTGAAGCCTGGAAAAAGCGTACTCAGTCTGTGCAACTTCCAATGTGCACACCTTCTCCAAATGTTTGTCGTTCGAACGCAGATCCAAAGAGGGTCGCTCGTCAACTGGTCGATGATCATGTCGACGTGCGAGACAGCGACAACGCCATTCATTGCACAGAATACGCCAACGATATCTACGAGTCTCACCGAAAACGAGAACTCGTGTACAGCGAACCCACCGACAGTCTCGACTCCAATTCCCAGATTCGCCGTTCCAAGGTAATCGATTGGATGGTCAAGGTGCACATGGACTTCCGACTTGGTCCGGAGGTGCTTTATGTTGCAGTTGCTCTGTTGAATCGATACACGGCAAGATCAACAATGCCAAGCAACGAGCTTGATCTCGTGGCTCTAGCTTGCATGTGGATCGCCATTAAAGTCGAAGAAACATTTTCTGTTCCACCGGACCTTTGGATTTCGCTCTGCAAGACCCAGTATACAAAAGCCGATGTGAGTGAAACCAAATTGGTGGCACTGTTTGTCGACAAACCGGACATGCGATCGGGGCAATGATACTCACGTCTCTACCGTTCATGCCCGTTTTCTGTCTTGACCAGCTCGTACAAACAGAAAAGAGCATCTTGAAGCTCCTCGACTTTGAAATTGCTCTTCCTACGGCCTATCACTTCTTGGTTCGGTTCTTGAAGCTGGCTCACGCCGACAAGAAGATGTTGCGATTTTCGTTCTACTATCTGGACTCGACGCTGCTGAGTGGCTCGCTCTTGATCTATCTTCCAAGTGAGATTGCTGCAGCCTGTGTGTATCTGGCTCGTCTACACGTGGGCAAGTATGGATGGAGCCCGACGCTCTTGAAGTATTCTCGATACTCGGAAGAAGACGTTGGACCCGTAGCAAGAGCAATCATTGAAGAGCACAGGGAATTAGAAAATGAGCTGAACGCGGTCCGCAGAAAGTACCGCAAGAGCTTTTCTCTCGGGGCCGGGAATTCGTAAACAAAAACAACCACCAAAGTGTCTCGAGGTGTTTCGTGCATCGGACGGTGGTAGCACGAAACGACTTGACGAAGCTTTTATGAGGTGTGTGTGCCAATTCACCGTTTGCTCAAAAGGCAGCGCTAGCTAGAATGTTCCCAACTGCTGGCCTTTCAATGCTGCATTCCGCGCGATACAGAATACGGTATGACTTTTACACAGGATACAGAAGCAATTCAGTCCAGGTGATGCCCCCCCATTCGAGTGAGCCTTTGGAACTTTTGATCACTGCACTTGAGTGCAGGGATCCCTTCTCCTGGCACTCAATATTGACTTAGTCACTCGCCTCATAAACCTCTTCCACTGTTGTCATAGTCATGGGTCATGATTGTGCTTTTCATTCATATCCTTGATATGTTGAGGCTTGATTTTCACTTGAACAGAGAAAAGTGCAAGCTTCAGTGTACCAGGTACTTGGACCACAACAAAGGACCGGGGCGGCCAGCGAGGACCATGGGCAGAAGAACTTACAGTTCGCTGGCTCATTGATGGCATCCTGTGGTTCCAGTACTGCCGCCGGCTCTGGTAGGTTCGCAGTGAATGTATCCAAGCAAGGGAACTCTTTGTTGTACCGTACATGTAGATGTACCGGTACCAAGTACTTGGTACCGTCCTTCAAAATTTCCTTTGCATGCCTGTCCAGCGCAGCCGGGTTCAGCCCCTTCCCGCAGGGATTCCTTTCGTCACCAGCAGTTTTGAGAAACAGCACCGCTGATGGGTGTAAAGGGTTCGCAATTGCATTTATTAACCTGCAGAGCCAGATATTCTACGCAAGATTGGATGTCACCCCACCATGTTTCAATGTTGCCACCTCAGATTGCGAAGGCAATTCGAAACCAACGTGGCACAATTGCAACAAACACGGAACAATGTGCTGGCGATGGTGAACTTGATGGATCCTGCTTGTCTGCTTACCCAACAGCTGGGCGGAACAAAGCGAATGGCCCTTCCCGTGCGGGAACTATCGTCGAGGTCGAGGCTGATATCAGAATTGCAATAACGTATCCTCATTATTTTTATCACCTATCAAAGCTAGCTACTAGAAGGATGATTGCCCGCCATGTAAACCGTCGAATGGGATCCACGATGGTGGTTCTACTATCAGGAACAAGGAGACCTCAAGTCCAACAAAGCAGACTGTTGTCCACGACTAGCCGAAAGATTTCGAGCACCGCCTCTACCAAGAAATCCGCGACAGCCATTGACTTGTGGAGCCTCCCCAAGGTCAGCAACCTCAAGTCCATTCTGCCTCTTGAGCTTGTGTTGCATCCCACCACCAAGAAACTCTTACCAGTGATTGGACATGCATCCTATCTCGCATTGGCCAGTGGGTTCTTGATGACGGATATGCTGCAACTACGCGTCATGTTGGTGGGAGGGTATACGGGGCTGGTGGCCTTTCATACGCTGCACGAACGACCCCTGCGCATCCCGTTGCGATGGTCGGCCCTCTTTGTCGCCGTCAATGCCGTTGCGGCTGGATTGGTGATTATGGATCGCTACGCTCCCACGCTTTCGGATCGTTTTGTGGATGGAGAAGAGCTGTATGCGGAATACTTTTCCTCCTTGAGCCGAGGACAGTTTCATCAGCTCCTGTCATTGGCGCAACGACGACAATCAGTACCCGCAGGAACCGTGCTGACGAGGGAAAACGTCTCCTGCCAACAAATGTTCTTTATCGTGGATGGAAAGGCTCTGGTGTATCATGGCAGGACCAATGCAACTATTGAACAAGGGGGGTTTGTCAATGACGTTGCCTTTCAAAGAGGTCCCCATGCAGGTGCCTATGGGACGGTCGTGACGACCCAAGAGAGCGACGTGCTAGTGTGGGATCTCGAAGCATTGCGGAAGCATTTGCAAAGTCGACCCGAAATGGAACGAGCCTTCAAATACTGCATGAGTGATCATCTCGTCAAGAGTCTACTGCGCCAACGAGAAGCAACACACAAGCGACAACGAACCCAGCGCAATCCACAGATTGAAATGGACTTGTAAAAGAGGAACGCGGCGCTCATTCCTTTTGTGAATGTTTTCATTTTTTGGTTTTGATGTGTACATACACCAGAAGAACAATACGCGCCTAGCTAGGCTATCCTTCGCTCGTGCAGAGCCCTGTTTTGAGTTGCATCACATACATCCTGGAGGTTGACATGGGCACGACAGCGGGCCAAGGACCCAGATTTTGACATAAGGTTGCCCAACCTCCATACATTTTTTTGGTTAGCAAGGGACGAGGATGATCCTCCGGTCAGCAATGATTTTTCTCGGCAGACTGTCTAGGTCCGAAAACTATAACGCCATTATAAGCCCTACCAACCATAAAACCTTACCCGTAGCTACCGATAAGAGCGGCGTGCGTTTGGTTGTATAAGCAGACAACTATCGTTGGAAGATGAATAGTCGAGGTAGCAATTCATCATTGATGACGACATTGCAGGAGTGCATGCATGCAAAGTTGAGCAAGTCTGCTTCGTGCACTTGTACCGGTCAACGTGTCCTACAAAGGTCTGCAGCCCCATCCGCCCTCTTATTGGTACTATCATGAGCATCGTCTTGGGTCGAATGAGCAAGGACAGCGCTGGAAAGGTATTTCGGAGTACCGGTACCCGTACCTGTAGAGTAAGTCGTCCTCGCATGCAGAGGGAAGACACTCCGCGGAGACCGGTGGTGGTCGGCACAGATCGTCATCGTAACCTAGCTTTTATACCGTTCTAGCCGTCAAGGGTGCTATTGTAAAACCGGTAGTGCAGCAAGCTAGTTTATTTTGTTAGTTTTTATCAGTCAGAAGTCTCCTATGTTTTGGTATTCTTCGCAGCTGCGAAGCAAGTGTTTCATGGAGGGAGGGAAACAGCTATGGCGATAGTTGCAGCGACTTCGCGGCAACGTCCCGAAGTTCCTGGTTGGTGAAGCAATCAGGGGAGTGATTGCAACATACTTATCTCTTGGCAGTACACTTCTGAGCAGGGACAATCTGGTTTACTTCTTGTTTCCCGCTTTTTCAGTGTCTTAAACCTCTGGACTGTCCTTCTCGCGCAGTTTCTGGGCTATCTCTCTCATGTTCAACATTGCTTTCGAAACCTTTGGCTTTTCCTTGGTTTTCTTCGGATTGCCCTCTCTATCCACTCTGCCCCCGCCCGCAACTGACTTTATGGAAGCATCTTCACTTCGGGCTTTCAGGCGCTCCTCAATCGGCTTCTTTCGTTCCTTCAAGTCATCTCCGTCTCCCTTTTTGGACCCTTTTTTGGCCTTGTCACTAGCTCCTTCTTCTTCCTTGGACTCTTCATGATGTCCTGTTCCCTCCTTTTTCCCTGTTCGGATCAAATTGGCCACCTGCTCAGTACGTTCGGCTTCTTTGGGAGTCTGCGCTGGTTTGGGCGGATCAGCAGGTGGTGATGCCCCACCTCCTTTTTGTTTGTTGAGCATGGCATTGCGATCGTTTTGCTGTTTGGCCACTCCTGAATCTCGTGGAATGACTTGAATGGGATTCCAGAAAGCATCCGTAGTCGCATTGACCTTGATTTTGGCATAGTGGAACTTTCGAAAGTCCAATTCAAAGTGCGCATTCAGCATGGCAATGGTGACATCCTCTAAATCTTGCGCTCCCAGCAGATACTCGTCTTCTATTTCTGTGAGGGACATGTCCACAAACACGGGTCGACTGTCTTGGAGTCCCAGTAGTTTGTAGAGTGGCGACAGAAAGGTTTGTCCCGTCATCCATGTGGGTTGTGGCACGCGCTTTTCTTCGTATTTCTTGACGACTTGTTTCTTGCGCTTGCGTTTGCGTTCCGGTGGTGGCAAATCAATGGCATCCACCATTTGATACTTTTCCAAAATGTTCTTGAAATCGCGTTGCAAGAACTCATAATGCAAGACATGATGCACGTACTTGATCCCCCGATGGTAGACAAAGTTGACTTGCGGAATGAGCTCAATTCCATCGGGTCGATGCGGGTGATGCGCTCGGATCAAGAAATCCTGCAAGAATTCATTGAGTTTCTGGGGATGCTCTCGTTTGCGCAAATACGTGGCAACGGCTTCGGGTGGATGGTTGCGATCTTCTACCATATCATGATACTTGAATCCATGTGGGTATCCATGTTGGGCATCGTACATGTACCGATAAAACGAAATGGCGCGACTGTAGGGATGTCGTACGACCGTGAATCGTTTGGTTCCCTCCAGTGGATTTTCGATAAACCGCATCAATGGGATCAACCATGGTTTGAGTGCCTGTCGATAACTGGCCTTGAATTGCATGTTGGCATACTGATGATCCCCAGAAATGCCGGGTGGACAATTCCATTCTGCAAATTGTCCATAATGACATGCTCCCCAAACAATATTGGCCTTGGCAGCTGCCTTGGTAATGGCTTGTCCTCCCGTGTAGGGGACATGTACAAATTCCAAGGGTGCCAGTGGAGCATCTGTCGGTGCGAGTGTGGTTCCATCGGAATTTTCGTGGTATTTGACGGTTCCATCTCGAAATTTTTGAGGAATGGCCTTGATGTGATTGACCACTGCAAAGCCTAGTTCGGGATGTGTCTGTTTGGTGTTGGTAATTGTATAGTAAGCATCACTCATACCATCAAATTTCCATCGATCCGAGTTTTCGTGCATTTCCTTGAGTAATTCCAGTGTCTTCCAGTAATTGCTGTGTGTTTTCTTTTGTTCATGATGTTCTGCTTTTTGCGAAATGGTTCGAAAGACGCCTCGTCCTTTGGGAGGACGGCGGGGATAGGGTGCGGCATTCTTGTCTTCTGGTTGATACAGCAACCCGTTCTGTCTTAACCGATGATAGAGATCGTCGTCTTCTCCACCCCATCCAATAAAGTCATTGCCCAATCCATTAATGAGTTGCCAGTGTTTGAGCGAGAGCGACGTAATCCCGCCACAATAGGCTGGATAGGGGACCGTCCAATTGAAATTTTGCAATTCACTGCCCAACTGTGTGGGATATTGGCACGTAGTGTAGGGGACATGACTGGTCATGTTGGGTACGAGATCGACGTCGTGAAAAACAACACAACTGGTGGTGGGATCCTGTTTGACGATTTCGCGGAGTCCGACATTGGCCAACCATGCTCGATTGAATAGTTCTTGGTCGTCTTGTTCAATGACCCAGAGTGTAAAGTGGGCATGCGGGAAATGGGCATTCAAGTAGGGACCCATGTATTCCAAAAACATGGCCAAATGAAAGGATCGATCACGGTACGGAATCAAAATGGCGTGTCGTTTGGGATCCGGCTTGACGTATGCCAGATTGTCAAAGCGATATCCATCATCGAGCGATTTGGGCCGGATATTTTTAGTGGGAGTGGTGGCCATCAAATTGGTGTGTATCAGAGGAGTCAAAATGGAATCTGCCGCGGAATCCACTAGTACAGCTGCTGCAGCACTACTGCTTCCCCCAATACCAGTAACGGCAGGATCAAATGCTCGCATGGCATAGTCAATGGACAAGAAGGAACAAATGATTCCACAAATCATCCAGCTCCAACACTGCAGACGAGCGGCACACGATGTGGACTTGTCCATGACTCGCTTGCTATACTTGTTATCGCCGGACCCTTCCGAACCATGATGGGAGGAACTGTTCAAGTGATGATGGTGGGTTCCTGGGTTCCCCAACGCGGCATTGTGGCGACTGCGAGAGGCGGTCAACAGCATTGTCTCTCTATATATTGTCTTGGACTATTTGCTTGGGCCAAAACTAATTGTGTTTTCTTCTTCTTCCTTAGATTGGAGCAACTTGCAAGCGTGGTTCCTTTACTACTCTTCCCACATACACGTACACATTGATTAGGTCGTCTTTCGGCACCACCAGTCCAACACTTTCATCAAGCAAGACCTTGGTTGTTGGTTGCCCTTTGGGTACGGTATTATCGTGGACGTTGGCTGTGTCATTTTTGGCCAGATGCCATTCGATCGTTCGACAGGTCTTGTCTTTGGCGGGAGGGTGCACCGTGACCTGATCAAAAACCATTAAATCTTTGAAAGAGGTATTTCCAGATCTTTCCAGTGGTGCACGGTGGCCTGAAACCTGCCAGCTGCCAGCTATGATGAGGTACAAGCGGCTACATGTAGCTAGCTGCTGGCTATGCATAGCTACCGGTAGAATAGCTGTAATAAGTGCAGGGATCCCAGACCATTTCTGCGTGTTGACCTGTTGATTTTAGTTTGATTGAACGTTCTCAGTTCCTGTTGTATGTATGTACTTGATAGTGGTTCCGTTAACTTAGGAATTACAAAGTCCCCGGTATGTATGTACCTGATAGTGAGCCCGTCGGACATCCATACTATGTGGCGCAGTCGACCTGACCTGGGTGTCGCTCCACATCAATACCATAGCTCCAGCTAAATGATCCTCAGCTCAGTCAAACTGCCAATAATAGTACCAAAAAGCACTATTAACCTATATTGATCTCAACCAAACTTATCATCCAAGCAAGGATGCTTTACACATCATACGTCGCTGAAGCCTCCAAGGGCCTTATCGTGACTTCAGAAAGGCTTTCATCTCTGTGCGCATTCTGGATCCCATCAAGACCAGTGTTTCTTTCCCTCAGCTTGAACCCACCTTGGTTTGCTCTCGTCTTCTAAGAGTTACAAGAGGCTGACCTTGGATTGAATCAAGTCCCGCACCTTGGCCCTCGCACAGGTCCCCAGTTTGTCCCTCCGGATCACACGGAGCCCCGTCCTGCATTTCGATTCTTCCTTCTCTTCTCTCTAGCTTGCTTGCCCCCTGTCAGCTTTCACACCAGGGAATCATCCAATACTCTAGATAGGGCCCAAAACTATTTTATAAAATAGCAGTATGATGTGAATAATCTCCGAGTCACTTGGAGATTGTTTTGTGTTTTCGTAGCTGTGCTAGCTAGCTAAATACGCTGGATACGGAAGGGCGGGATTGTAACGGTACAGAGTACAGAACCCATTTTGTTAAGTCCCTCTTCTGGAGAAGTAGTCTTAGCCCTTAACGCCTTTAGTGCCCTTAGTCGTAACTGGTTAAACTGGTGACTTCGAAGCCTTTTTCTTGTGAATCTGGGTCATCGTACCGTTCTTCCATTCCAGTGTCATTAGACGTAAACTTTGGGTGCTCAGCCTTTCGATAGTGAAACTGTACATTTTCATCTTCGTAATGTACATCGAATGCTTCCGGCCTCATCAACTCGACCTCCTCATTCAATCTCTTTCAACAGCAAGGACTCCATCCTTCCTTCCTTCTGTCAACTATAAGATCTAGATCTAGAGCAATAGCTCTATCCAATCTGAGTATTGAATCCTTTTCTGATATTACTCTACAAGTAAGTACCGTAGTAATATCCCCTTTGGTTGAGACGACAATCTTCATTATTTACGAGAAAGAAAAACCATGCGAACGCCAACGTTCCACAACAATCTGCATCTTCAGAGACGCCGCCTCTTGGTGGGATCCTTCCTCCTCGTGTTGCTGCTCTCTCCTACTACCGTGCAAGCCGACTTTATGTCGTTTGTCCGTTCCATGACGGGTCGCTATGAACGCCGCAACTTTTGGTTCTACTGGTACCTCTACAAGAAGAAGCATCAAAAGCTAGTTCAGCAGCAAAACGCCGAGTACAATGCCACGTCCTTTCTACTCAACTACAGTCGCTGTAACTTTAGCGACCCCGACACGTTGGCAGATTGTCCTCCGACTCCCGAGCCAGTCCAAGGCCGCAATACTGCAAATAATTGGACCACCGTGCCCGTGGGCTGTTTGGACAATCCCGACGATCCCCAGTGTCAACCCGTCGTGGCGCCGGCGACCAGCGGTGGTAGTGGGAAACCCACGGGTGCCAAACAAGGAGATGGATAATACGGACGATCTCTCTCTATTTCTCT